CCTGGAAAAGCGGCGTCGTAAAAATTCTATCAACTCGATTAAATTATAACAAGTGGATTTTCATGTTTTTGTGTCGCATTTATGGGTTTTTATTGTGCTAATTTTATGCGCGAGCCAAGGAAGGCAGCGCGACTGAAGCGAGTTCCTTAAGAATATGCGACACAGCACACACACAGAAACACACACATACAGGCACACACACATACAGGCGCACACACACGGCTAGATAGGCACCTGCAATAATACTTGGCACACATTTAGTGGCAGCATTTAGTGGCACATTGCGGCTCCAACGATGGTGCTGAAGTTCATCCTTGGGACATTGCCACGTTGCTGTTGTCGCAGTTGCTGTGTATTTTTTAGGCGCCTGTCTCTGTGTGTGCGTGTGTGTGGGTGTGCATGTGTGTGGCGCCACACTTGGCAAAGTTTTTGGCCTACCTGCCGCTAACCGCTCACCTGTTAGCCAAACCACCCGCACCACCCACACTCATGTGCTGTTGCCTTCGCCTTTTGTCTTATCAAACTTCTGGCGCGCATGTGTTTATGCCACAAATGGCACTTTTGCGGCAGCGCATTTTATTTTTTTACTGCCACTTTTCGCCATTTTGCTTTATCATTTTTATATGTTTTGTTTCTAGTTAGTTGGGCGTGGCCAAATTATAAATAAGTATATTACAGTCAGCGAAATGCGTGCTATACAATGCCCTTCCGGGGTTCGATGCCTGAGGCTATGCGAGAGAAAAATCTGCATGGAAATTGATTTTACTTTTTGTCTTTCAGAAGATATATTTAAGAAATCGGCCTTTAAAAAAAGTTGTATGAAAGTAATATTGAAAAATAAATATTTGATTTTACATTATATTTATATTAAAATATATATTTTTATATTATTATATTTATTTTGTAATATTCTGTTCATTTTGTTGTCAGACCTTGACATATTTTAAACATTTAAAAAACTCGAATAATAGGATTTGGAGAAATGTAAGCAGACTTCAGTTGCTGAGTTGAGTTTCACAGGGTTTCGAGGTTTTTGATTGGACAATTTGATTTATTATTCATTAAAATGTATACCAAATATTAAATACAAAAATATATTTAAATATATTTTTTATATATTTCTCAAAATCATTTTATAGCTTAAAATAAGGCTTGAATTTTCTTAGCCAAAATTTTCTGCTATAAGTTGTTTATCTTGCCCTATTCGATTCTCCCGCCAACTGCTGCGACCATCATATTTTCCTGCTAACCAAAATTTCCAATTTTGAATCCTTTTAGCTACTTTAACATTCCTTCAGTGCTTGACAGTTCACTGTGTGTGTGTGTGTGTTAAACTAATAAGCTCCATCGAGCTGCTGTCAGTTCGAGGTAGAGCCGTAAACATTTAAATGACCGTCTAGTTGGATTTTATTGTCCAGCCGGGGCTCTGCCTAGTGGGAGCGAAAGGTGTGCAAGCAACTAATGACCCTGTATTTATATGACAGGCAAAAGTTTATAAATATTTATGGGGTTTGCTGTTGTTCTGCTGCTGTTGTTGTTGCTGTTGTTGTTGCTGTCGCTGTTGCTTACTTCAGGCGCAAGCTCATTTGCTTATTTTAAAATTCCGAGCAGGCGTTGTTTCATTTTTGACACCCGACAGCAAACCCGGCCAGGCCCCAAATGCTCCCCAGTTCCCCGAAACCAGAAAGCAGGCAGGTTCGAAGACTCAGTCCTGTCCTCGCACGTTGTTGCCATTGTCACGCACACACGTACTATATTTTTTACGCGCATATCATACCACACATACAAACACACACACACGAACACACTCACTTTGATGCAGCCACAACATCAACGTTGACGCAAAGCACCCCTTTTATTTGAGAGGGCGGGAAGTTTTTTTTTTCTTCCGAGGGCTTTTGGGAGCCGCTGCTGCTGCTCAAGTAAATAGAATCACGTACACTAATTATCATCACCATTGCGCGCTCAAAAATATATTTTTATTAATTTCATTTTCCCCAACAACTACCCCATACCCCCACCCTCCCCTAGTTGTGTGTAAAATTTTTAATTGAGATCTGGCATTGCGATAGAACTCTTCTCCTTCCTAGCTGTATAAATTGAATGCTGTGCTCCATTCTGCATGTAAATTGCGTACTTCTGGGTAGTTTTCGATAGCTGTATGATAATCAGTTTAGATAAGATATAATATAATTAGCCGTTATATGTTCCATTTGGACAACACACGTTGTTGCCATAGATAGTCTTAAATGTGAGTCACTCGATGTGATATATTTATATATTGCATTATTACAGATTAACTTGCTCAAAGCGGATTTTAGCTGTAGAAAATGTGGGTGAATTTTGGCTACTTTTAAATGCATGTAGATGTAACATAAGATAGCTACACATTTACATATATATTTATAGCTAGATCTAGCCCTTCTGTTGTCCGCTTAGATGTCGGCAGTTTATGCGAACTTGGTTACATATAGTTTAATATATATATTAATTCAGGCTGCAGCCCATATTTGTTTAAGGTTCTTGTTTATACAAATATACAATAAATGTTTATAATTGACTTTACTGTTGCGTTAGGGCACAAAAAAAGCACACACAAAAGCTGTCAAAAAAAATTATATGATAAGAGTTCCATTGTAAGCTCTGACTCATAACATGACCCTCTAAAGGCCCTGTATTTATAGCTCTTTTAGTAGAATTGATTATAACTTTTACGATAGTAATCCATACCAAATACTTGGCTCACCGCTCACTCTAATATATTAGAGGACAGAGACTTCGCCGGATTCATCCTATCGCTCTAGTCAATCGGATATTTAACTAGATTATATCTAGATTATATATATCAGTACTGAACTTTTAAAACAGCTCAAAACTTAATATTTATAAAATAAAAGAAAATAATAAAAACAAGCTTTTACAATTTTTTAAAAATTAAAAAACTTATAAACACAACGCGAACTATAAAGAATATATATATTATATAGCTAACATAGATACATTTAAGACATAACACCCATTAACTGCATCTAAATTTGTTTTTAGGGGTCTTTTAGACCACTAAAGAAATCAATACCACGTTTGCAGTTCACTGGAACTAGTTATTTTAACACGGCCCTATTTGTTAAAAAACTACGTATGTGCGACCTTTTTTTATAAGAAATATTAATACAATTGGTGCAGATAACGCGGCTCACTTGTCCACCCGCAGCGATAAGAGTGTGTTATTGTTTTATCTACAGATAAGACTCTCAAAGTTTGCAACACTCACATGAACAGAAAAAAACTACCGAGATTGGCAAGAGCAAAGCTATAATAGAGCGATCTGGCATTACATGTAGTATAGAACGGTACGTGCAACGTGCAGCAACGTCCGTCCACTCGATCGGGACTTGTATAAAATAACAAATATAAACATATACATATAATTCATAAATGGATCATCGTACACGTGTTGAGGTGATAAATGTCCCGCCACCAGCGGGTCCCACAACGGTCATTGTACAGCAGCCGCCGCCCAAGGATAAGGGCTGTTGCTGTTGCCCCTGCTTGCCCTGTTGCTGTGGCTGTGGCGAGTGTTGTTGCTGTTGCACGATAATGTAGAGCAACATTTGACAAGAACAACAACATCAACAACAAGAAGAAGAAGAGTAGCAACAATAAGAACTTCAAACAATGGCGCTGCAAATCCTTTAATGCTTTACGTTAAATTAAGTTTCTATGGCTTTGGCGGGCTTATGAAACACACACTCACACACACAACACACACACTAAACAAACACAAAAACACACACACACTTTTTTCGTGCAATAAAATTTTACGATTTGTTATAAATAATGTTTTTGGTACACGAACTGTGGTTGAGCTCGGGCAACATATTGTCTTGCATAAATCTCAATGTTTTTGGCTGGCACCAATAAAAAGCCAAATTTAATAACACCTACACACTCGCACACACACAAGCACACACACGCGCACAGACGCCCACACAAACCGCAAAAATTTGTAGTTTTATGGCAGCCCTTTTGGCATAGCCATCCACTTGCCCAAAAACTTAGCTCACATTCCAAGTTATTATTTATATGTTTTTCAATTTGCCAATAAAACCGAAAATGTGTCAAAAAGTGCCGCCTGCTGCCATTTGATAAAACATTTTATGTGACTTTTGAGGTCTTTTCGCATTGCAACCGCAGAGCTAAAAGTTGCTGTTTTTTTGTCAAACAGCAGCTTTGAGAAGGGTTTCGCTGTGTTGGGGGCGGTTGGGGTGTTGGGTAACCCATTCAGCGTAATTTGTGTGTACTTTTCTTTTGCTTGCCGTTTATCTAAAGCCCAAACCATATTACTCATACGCAGTGTTGCACGCGAGGCGCCGCACAGTGGTAAGTAGGGCGCCGAAAAGTGTTTGAGAAATGTTTAAATCGTAAAACGCGTACAATCTTAACTTGTTGTGTTATTATTATTTATACAATTTAAAAAAAATGAATATTTATTAGTTTGGGGCAACAGTATTATACATATATAAGATGTGTAATAGATATATCTATTATATTTAGCTATATTTATGAACTCGTACTCACCTTTTTCTACACTTGATAGGCTGGCTTTTAGCAGTCTTTGCCATCACTTTTCTGCAAAATGCAAATAAGTATTTAGTTTCATATATTCTACACTTGCACATTTATTATTAAGAAGGCTTATACAACTCTTCACACTTTCAAAAGATTTTTATAAGCCCTAAAATCATGTCGATAAAATCGATATATTTATAAACTTAATATAAGCAACATATAAATAAACTATAAATAAATCACAGTATATCATAATTCGTTGAAATTCTCCCACTGTGCCCTGGGTACTCTACATTTGATGACACTTACACAAAACTGTTTTATTATCTGAGCTCATTGATCAAATGCGGGGGCTTTAGATAAAAAACAAAAAATTGGGTAGCCTGAGTTTACCTGGAACAACCTTTCAGCCAACCGGAATTTTAGTTGAAACGAGTTATTGCGCCGTGCAGCATAACATACACTAGTTATTGAATTTAGTTAGTCACACTCCGAACTTAAACGCAAGGATCATGTACAACCCGGGCTATCAAGTGGATGTCATCGATCCGTACTATCCACCCCCGGTGGAGGTTATTGAAGTAGTACGTCAACCGGCCTATCCACAGCCCGCCGTCGTCGTCACCCAGCCTCAAACGATCTATGTGGAGGATAATAATGGTCCTACGAGAGATCAAATGGATTGCTGCCTCATGCTGGGCGCCTGCTGTGTCATGGAAGAGTGCGGCCTGTGCGTTATATCATAATGAACAGTTTTTGTTATTTAGAAAACATGTGCAGCAATTAAGTGTGTTTAAGAAGTTCTTATTTAAATAAATATAATTGAAAAGTTAAGTGCTGGATTATGCCAATAATAAACCCAAGTTCAAAGTGAACGCGACAAGAGGATTACTCAATATATTATTTCTCAAGTGCAATTCTTGGATAAAATTTTTATGAATTGCTTTAAATCTTTAACAAATAATATAAAGAACTAACAAACTTTAATATAACTAAATTTTAAATTTTTCAAAATTTGAATAAATTTATAATGTTGATTAAAAAGTTATTTGTTGAGTAAAAACTCGGAATATAAACTGCAATCTATTTTCAGGTATCTTTAATAAGTTAACCTTTGCTTTTTGGTGACATTTCCGATGACCCCTGTTTTTTCAGTCCAGAATTGAATTACCCTGTATGCACAAAATTCGAAAAGAAAAAAAGAATTCTTAGCAAATCTTATTTAGAGAGCAGGCTTCTTATAAGTCTCCTTTTAAATATATCTATCAATGGCATACTTCTATATCCAACCCGTAGATTTCTTCACAATTCTTTATTTTCGACTTGCCTGATTTCTATCCTTTAATCCGCCAAGAATAAAATCTACGTAGAGCCCGAGTAGTTAGTCTTTCAATTAGGCAGATGCGCATTTGAAATTTGCTTAAGTGCCTGTCACTGGCTCTCAGGCATATCATTTTGCGGCTAGAACATTAAAGCCAACGCCCAAGTATGACAAGTTCTGACAATAATTAAAGCCAAGTCGTGTACAGTCTTAGCCAGAGTGCGACATTATGTCCTTTCTCTACGCTGTTCTTTCGGTTCTTTTTTGGGGGGCTGTGTAAAATGTTATTTGAAAATTTTGTGCGTTCGTCTTCGACATGGCCGCAAGAACAGGGCGTTGGTAACAAGAACGAGCAGCTAAAACCAGAAGCACATCCAGGACAACTTGAACAGCTTGGCTAACAACGGAAACAGGCCAACAGCAACAGCAACAACAACAACAACAACAACAGCCGGGTGCTATATGCCTTTTTAACTTGATTTAATGAGTGCAGGGAAAAACATCAACAAGAAAAATGAAATAACTGTCATTGAAGACATGAAAAAAGGGGCGGCAATGGGTATGGGGCTTCGCTGCCATTGACGGTTGACTGTCTTTGAGCCAAGTCAAGGGGTGGGTGGAGAGTGCGCGCGGAGGAGGAGGCTGTGCTACTTAACTAGGAGCAAACGAGCTGCCAGACACGAAGGGTCTACGTGGAGCGGTTGGGTGTGGCACGGCGCAATTATGCAGCAAATTAACGCTTTATTTTTATTAAAAGCCAGCTAACTGGAAAGGGCCTTTTTTGTTGTTTGTATTTCTTTCCTTTGTTTTTTTGCTTTTTCGGGGTTGCCTTCGTAGTGCCAGAAAAAAAAGAAAAAGTTGCCAAGCTGCAAGTACATAAATTGTTTGGCAGTTGCCAAAGTTATGGCTGGAAATATGAACTCTCATTTGAGAAAATCTATCAGTTGGTCATGATGCAGCAAATTAATATGTATTATGATTGATATTTATGTAGATTTTATAGATGGCATATTTCTGGGGAGGTTCGAAACCTAAACTTTGTGCGTAGTGTACACACTATTTTTTTTTTAATTTTTTTTTATTCGTTTTCTATTTTCTATTATTTTTTCGATTTATTATTATTTTTTTGATTATTTTTTCTTTAAGAGTTATATCAACTTAACTATAATTTTAAATACTTTAAATATTTTGTTTTTAAATTTTTATTATTATTTTGTAATATTTTTTATTCCTTGAGCAACAATTATTATTTTAAAATAATTAATTTATTTAATTTTTTTAGTTTTTGTTATTTAATAATTAAATAAATAATAACTTAAATAAACAATTCTAAAAAATTAAATTAATTGCGAATTGCTGCTAGATTTGAACCGGCGACTTCTATCCTGTTAGCCCAACGCTCAAGCAACTTACTCTCTAATATGTATGTATATTTGTAGACATATATTCATAATTCCTTTTTCATTCGCGTTTCTTTCTAAAATTCTAAAAAATTAAATTAATTGCGAATTGCTGCTAGATTTGAACCGGCGACTTCTATCCTGTTAGCCCAACGCTCAAGCAACTTACTCTCTAATATGTATATTTGTAGACATATATTCATAATACCTTTTTCATTCGCGTTTCTTTCAATTTAACATCTTATTACAGTTTCATTATAATCACCTACTTATCCTAGAAATCAATTAATTTATGCCCAGCTTAGTTCGACACAATACTACTTTGCCATATATCTGCACAGTTTTCTTTGGCCATGTCAGCAGCTTATGCGAATACATTTGGGTCAGCAACAGCCCTCAAATAGGAAAATATAAAAACCATCTAATCATGCGCTACAAGTTGAAACTAATGCATAATTCGTGTTCTCCGCAACAAAAGCAAGTCAATGTATAACGAGAAGAAGTCAGCAAGAATTCAACTACCCCTCCGAATAAGATTCTTAAGGGTGGCTATGCCACACACAGTTCATACTCAGGGCTAGTTGCATTTCCTGCAAGTAATTTCGTTATGAGTTTTTGCTGTAAGGGCCGTAATCCTTATAAATGAAGCAGCAAATTTGACGCCAATGCAGCAGCATCAACGGGCTTGTATTGTAGTTTATATAGTTACTCAGGGACTTAATGCATTTGCCTGAACGGGAGGCGGAGGGAAAAGCACATTGGACCGAGGGGTGGTTAATAATACACGTTAATATCTTATGTTCTTCTCTCTGAAATTTTCGCTCATTTGTCAGGATTTGAGCACTGCCCGGTAGACTCGCAAGAAAATTGCAATTGTATTTGTTGCTTTTGCGGGCAATGATGATTTATTTGCCACGCACGTGAAAGATTTGTGCGCCGTCTCCTTTGTGGGACTGGGCGGTCTGTTGGGCCTGGCTCATTAACTTTTGCTCAGTCCGAGACTCATTAAAAATAAATCCGTCTTGGCAGGCGATTTTAATACGGCCATGTTAAGGCTATCAATGTCCAAGTAGTTGGTGAGAGCGCAGCTTGTTAATGTCAGCTGAGAATCTAAAAGCCGTTTCTCTCGTCTCTCAAGAGCCAAACGGATGGGTTAATCATCTTAAGAGGGTATATAATACAAAAGTAGTCATTAAAAGTGATTTGGTTGGTAGTTTTCTTTTACACATAAGCTAAACTTTGCCTTACAAAACAATAAACACAATTTTTGTGTAGCGCACTTTTAAGATCATTGAAAGACAAGAGAGCAATTTTTAGAGAATATAAAGACCAGCGAGAATTTCATTTGATTTATATTGAAATTATTAAACAAATCTCAAATGTATTTATTTTATATTATTTTATATGACAGTTGATTGAAAAATAATCTTAGAAATTAGAATATTATTTTGATAATAAACTTTAAAACAAAGAACTGGATGATAAAAATAACAATTAAAATACAAATAAATATAATATTATATAGAGCGAATGCAAATTGCAAATTTGCCCAGCATTTTTTCATTTTACATTCACTCTAAAAACAACAATAAGAAACCCAGGCAACGCCGCGTAATTTCTGCTAGCATATTTATATTTTTATATATTTCTTCAAAAGTTTTTATTTTCATCTTACACTTACACTAAAAACAACAATAATAAACCCGGGCGACGCCGGGTAATTTCTGCTTGTATATTTATATTTTCATATTTTTATTCAACATTTTTCCCATCTTTTTTTTCATTTTACATTCACACTAAAAACAACAATAGAAACAAATTTCAAAAGCCTGAATGTCACCATTAAAATGCTCAACCCAGTTACATTTGGCATTCTCTCTTTGTGGCATGCCTCTGTCCCTCTAGGGGTGTGGGGGGTGGTGTGCTTTGGATCCGCTCCCGCTACAGTGCTGACCCGCTAAGTGCCGTTCGACACGAGCTCTACAGGGCGTCCAAGTTACGGTGCCTTTTGTTATATGTCAAGTGCAAAATGTGCAATGCATAAGACAAAGCAACCGCATACCGAACAGTTAGCTACCCCTGCACCTCTCCAATCCCCCCCCCCCCCACACACACCTCACCCGCTTGTTGCAAGCTGCTATTGTGTCACTTGCCAAGCACCAAACCAACAGCAAGAACAACAACAACGGCAGCTTCTGTGTGACACATTTGGCAATGCGTTTTTAAACTGCAAAATACAAAACGAAATGTGGCAGCCACAAGAAAAAACAACAACAACGCAGAACAGCAAAAAACAAAGTCAGTTGCAAGTGGGGAAAAGTTTTAAGCATTTTTTCGCTTTTGCCTCGGCACTGAATTGCACTTAAAGTCAGCGCCAGTTAAAAACTTTGAAGCAACGACTACAAGAAAACTATAGCTGAAAAAAATAGCTAAAAATAAAACTAAAAAAATAAAAAAAGATATTGCTAGAAAGAAGAGATATCTCAGATTAGTACAGGTGCAAATACCCTTAAAGCGAGAAGTGCAAAATCATTTACATAAGCAAAGACTTAATTTCCTAAAAATTCTCAACAAGTTAAAGCATCGAAAAAAGGACAAACCGTTTGTTAGATTATTACAGGGGCTAATGCCCTTAAAGCAGTCAATTGAAAATTATTTATATACTAAATCAAAACAAACTATTAGGCTTTGCTTCAAAATTCTCAACAAGTTAAAGCATGGAAGGAGGGACAAGGGGCAAAGGACAAGTTTGCAATCCTTGAGTCTAAAGCAAAATCGATTGATGGTAAAAGCGAAAGGCTCCTCAAACAGATTTATTTTATTGTTGTTAATGCAGTATAGTTTTTAGTTATAATTTATTATAATAATTTATAATTAATTATAATTAATTAAGAAATTAATATTAGTATTTCACACAACAAAATCCACATACCCGGTGTTAGGGTATTAGCTAAAAAAAGGAACCGCATTGCATAGTGGAGTGCGAGAGAAACAATTGAAAACTTTATTGCTTTTGGCTTTTTCACTTTTGTTCGCAAGTATGTTGCACACGAGGCGCGTTGACAAAAAGAAAAAGCAACCAAAAACGAGACCAAAAAGCTGGCGAGCAGAACAGAAAGAAATAAAGAAAGAAAGAAGAAAGTTTTGCACTTTTATTAATTTTTAGAACTCAGCAGGAGGGGCACAGCCCCTGCAAAAAGCCCTACAAAAGTATGCTAGCTGAAGATGGCCACAAGGACACGGACGCCAACT